CCAACACGTTAAAACCAAAAGGCGCATGCTCAAAATTCGAATCTAAGGCTCAGATGAAACCGTGATTTGCATGCGCCCAAGATTCAAGTAAACCTCGCCTACTGTGACAAACCATCGTCATTGCACATTAAATGCTCACGTAACGAGAGCCTTGGAAACCGCTGCACCACACAACTATTTTTTCCTTAGAAATTAATATTTCTTTCAAATCATTAGAGTACGCCACCCAATGTGCTTTTACTACATCTAGGGGCTCGCACTTTGCTCCAAAGGCCTCGCACCATATTATTCAGCCTTATTGTTGGCTTCAACTACATCTAGGGGCTCGTCCTTTGCTCCAAGGGTCTCGCCTCGCATTATTCAGTCTTACCATAGGCTTCAACTATATCTAGGGGACCTAATAACAGGTTTCCAACCTCATCAAAGGTTTTCTTTCCTCACAAAGTCATCGTTTCATCACATTCAGCCTTACTGCTACAACTTCAACTTGAAACCACATCTTTCTCCTCTTCGACTTGAAAGTCAACGCATTATATGAATAATCATACCTGAACTTTAGGTACTGTTGTCACGCCTCATTACACAAGGACCAACGCGTGGTCTCAATTATCCTATGGGCAAACAGTTCGACGGTCCCGCTCTCTATACACCTACACAAGGCGAAGTTAAACCGACCCTCAAGTGCCGACAACCCACTTTTCCCCACAAAGCAAGACTGGACCAACCCTATTGCATGCAGAACCCATGGAAAAAGTCGGTTCGGGACGAGGCAGTGAGAAGATCCTAAGCAGATCTTATATTATGTGATTGACAAGATAAGTTACTACCATCACTGCCACAGCAAACATATTTTCTCAAGTCCAAGGCCGCAATCTAGGCTGCATTTAAGGTTGTGATTGATTGATGTCTATGACAAGAGAGGTCAGTCATTTAGATTGGGCTACATGCATTGCCATCTAACGGCCCTTATTCGTCATACCCAAGTATAAAAGTTCACACTTAGTGTCATTCAAGGGTAATGCAAGTTTAGACTCTTAAAGTTGTAATCTTGCTACAATACACTATATTTATTTTACCCCAAAGCCGACCCTCCCTTTTTATACCGAAGGCTCACGTTTAAAGCTATCTCACACTCATTTAACTATTTTCTCCAACTGACTTGACCGTTGAGTGGGCGCAGCCAACTCTACCCCTTCCGAATAAGGCCACGTGTAACTAACGGTTTGTCCAAGTGTGCAAGAACCGAGCTTGCGTGGACGTGGGAGGTATTGGGATATGTTGGCCACATTAATGGTACATTTTTTTGGGGTCAACAATTTAAACTATGTCGGTGTTGGTGGTGGTGAGGTAACAACGATATTTTTTGGTAGTATCATTCGGGTCAGGTCGGGTAAAAAACGTTGGGGTATTTTCCAAACTAGCCGGGTATATTAGATCCATTT